ACCGGCCACATGTGGTGCCAGCGAGCGCAGCAGGAAGACGCGCCTTAGAGCCATGGCGGAGCCAACACCGGCGCCCAGGAGCTTAAGTACGCTCGGCCGGCCACGCCCCAAAGCCGCGCCTTAATCACGCCCCATTCCGGGAAGCCCCGCCTACCACCCAGTGGCTCTGCTCCCATTTTAAGAATCTTTGTTCCGCCCATCTCCTCTGGAGGACTTCCTTGGCGCTCTGGTTTGGCGCGCTTCCCGTGGCTGACCACGCCTCCCCAGCCCGCAAATATTCCTCCTGAGCCCACCCTCAACTCTGACCCCTAGACCCCGCCCCTTGGGAACCAGGATGTTTAGCTCTGGGATTTACCTGTCCCCGGGCTGGCCAGGTGGGTCCAGAGTCCACCAGTCAGTACCATGACACCCTGGCACTCACGCATCCTCCGATCCCGAGCATCGGAGCCTCCAGCTGAGGCCAGGACTGCGAGAATTCTGTCCCAGAAGGTGGCCCCTTCCCCCCACCCCATCACTCACCCCTGCCTAAAGTACTTTCTTAAAAGCTACCCTTTCCTGTTTCTTTTTTGTCATTTAGTCTCACCTCCTGCCCGCAAGGCAAGCAAGGGCCCCCAGGCTCCTCTGTGAACTCTTGGAGCTCTAGTGGCTCCTCCCTCACTCACCTGTCCACATCCTGGCACCACCAGCAGTAGATGTCACCTAGGGACTCTAACTGCCTCTGCCTCTGACATCTCATCCTCCCACAGGTTGTGAGTGACAATATGACCCCAGTACCCCCTAGGGGCTTGGCCCTGCCTTTCCTACACCTCTGCAGAAGTCTATCTTAGACTGGATATTTAGAGCTGCGGGACTCTTTATGGTGGTGACTGTGCTGTGCACTGCAGAATGTTTAGCGCCACCTTTGGCCTCAGATGGCAATTACACACACACACACAACACACATGCATACACACACTCATGCACACACACACACAACACACATGCATACACACACTCATGCACATACACACATAACACACATGCACACACAGACATACACTCATGCACATACACACATAACACACATGCACACACAGACATACATGCACACACACACACATACTTGAAGTAGCCTAAAACATCTCTGATATTGCCAGAAGCCCCTGGAAAGCACAATTCTCACTTGTCTTGACTGAAGATGACTTCCTAAGGCAGGACCCAGGTTTTTCCTGCTGGAACCTAAGGGGAAAAGCAGAGCATGACAGAGGCATCAAAGTCCGGAGGGAGGCGGGAAGCCATAAGTACCCTACAGCAGCTCAGAAACATGACTGATAGGGAGCAGGCTTGGAAACACCACCATGACCATCCACCCAATCTCCTTCAGTTCTAACCCACAGTCGCCACACTCCTCCACCACCCCCACCCCACCCGCAGCTGATCTTTCGGTCAGCCGGTCTGTTGCTTGTGGCTGTGGGACATCCACCCCTCCCTGTGTCCTCCCCTTTCTTCCTCCTGAGGCTCTGGAGGCCCTGACATCTTCCAGGGTGGCCAAGGCCCTCTTCTCTTCCATTGCTTGTCACTGCTGCCTTCCTGCTGACACTCTGTGGCTTTGTTGAGAGAAGGACAGAAGTGGCACAGAGTATCTTATCATAAGCTCTAGGTGTCTGGCTCATCCTCCAGGCCCTACTCTAGACTCTGAGTCGTCCTGAACCACACCTGGCCCTCACCCAGCTCCTGAAGGCCATGGGGTTGGGACCTTCTTTGGGCACAGCTAGGGCTTGGACCCATAGGTTTCCAAACAGCCCTGTCCCTTTGATGCCGTGTGTCCCCTAGCAGCTATATCCAGTGGTTTGGCTACAATCCCAAGCTCCTGCACCTGGTGACCAGTATTGGACCCCAAGTTCCTAAGCCCCATCTTCATCCAGATCACATTTGGCAGGAGAGATGCAGGTGCACACCAGCTGATTAAGAGATATAACTCAGCCGGGCATTGGTGGTGCACGCCTTTAATCCCAGCACTGGGGAGGCAGAGGCAGGCGGATCTCTGTGAGTTCAAGACCAACCTGGTCTACAAGAGCTAGTTCCAGGACAGCCTCCAAAGCCACAGAGAAACCCTGTCTTGAAAAACCAAAAAAAAAAAAAAGATGTACACTCAGCAAAAGGAACCATACTGTGGATGTGCCCATTTGTTGTTGGTCTTACTGGCCCACCAGGAACCCTACTCTAAAGCACTTTTAAAGCTACCCTTCACTGCACCACAGCAGGGGAGACTGATATGATTCCTCATTATACACACTTATGACAAAATGATACCAATAGCCAGGGCTTCTTCATTGGAATCCAGCTGCAGCTGGCTGATCAAGCCCAAGACATCTACCACTGACCAGAGGGCACCATTTCAGAACACCCCCCTTTATTGATTTTCTGGGGTGTGCTAAAGTTTGGTAGCTTTCCAATGGCCATGGCCAGTTTCTAAACACCAGGTCTGTTGCTATTGTTATTGTTATTATTGTTTGAGCCAGGGCCTCATATGTCCTAGGCTGCTTCAAGCTCACTGGGTAGCCAGAGATGGCCTTGATCCCCCTGCCTCCTCCTGCCTGGGATTAGGTGTGCACCACCACCCTTGGTTTATGTGGTACTGGAGGTCAAATTTAGGGCTTTGTGTATGTTAGGCTAGCACTCTGCCAACTGAGCCACATCCCCACCCTTCAAACTGTGTGTGCCTAACCAGGATGGACCCACATGGGTTGTGTGTGTGTGTGTGTGTGTGTGTGTGTGTGTGTGTGTGAAAAATGTTCAACCTTGCTGAACATATACAGACTTACTCTTCTCTTTATTCCCTGAAAAAATGCATCTAAACAGCTATTGACATAGCACTTACATTGTGTTAGGTATGATAAATGTGGTGGTTTCAGTGAGAAGGGCTGCCTAGGCTCGAATGTCTGAATTCTTGGTCCACAGTTAGTGGAACTGTTTGAGAAGGAATAGAAGGACTAGGGTATGGCCTTGTTGGAAGAGGTGTGTCACATGCTTCCCTGGTGTCCACAAAAGCTAGAAGAGCGTATCAGCTCCCCTGAGACTTGAGTTACAAGTCATTGTGAGCCCCCATGTGGGTTCTGGGTACCGACCCTGGGTCCTCTGGGAAGATCAGCCAGCCATGCTCTTAACTGCTGGGCCATCTCTAGCCACATTAGATAAGAAAGCTTGAGGTGAGCTGATGTACGTGGGAAGCTGTGCTTGGGTTATGTGCAAATACCATGCCATTGTATGAAGGAACTGGGAAGCCTCGGAGGTTTATACCCACAGATACCAAGTAACAAGTGTTTTCTGGGACTCTGGAATCTAGTAGGTCACTCCACATCCAGGGCACTATGATTTCTACCTTCTGGGGACAGTTGGTGTCCTCCGCTTTCAGAGCAAGCAACTCTGGGGACAGTGGGTCTTATTCCTATTCCATAATGACACATTCACTAAAGGTGAGAACAACCCAGATGTCCACTGACAAATGACTGGAAAGATAAAATGCAGTCTATTCGTTCAATAGAATATTGTTCAATGGTGTAAAAGGGATGAAATGGATTTTGTTGTTCTATTGAGATAAGGTACCTTCAGCACAACATACTTAGAGCCCATCCATTCTATATAATAATAGTGTGTGTAATAATGACACTTATTAATCCTTCACTCTGCCAGGCATGATGGTGTACACCTATGATCCCAGCACTGAGGCAGATGGATCTTGAGTTTGTGAACTTGCTTACATAGCAGAAGTATTTAAAATAGAAGTAAGATTTTCTTTGAGACAGGGTCTTACTATCTAGCACTGGCTGGCCTGGAACTTGCTATGTAAACCAGGCTGGCCTCAAACTCAAGATCTGCCTGCATCTCCTTCTCGAGTTCTGGGATTAAAGCCATATTCCATGACACCCGGCAAAAATTAAATTTAATGAAAGAAGCCATATTCAGAAGACCATATGCTGTATGATTCCATATATATGAAATCTTCAGAACAGGCCAATTCATAGGGACAGCTACCTTGTAGACAAAACCATAGAATAGATTGGCAATTGTATGGAAATGATGGTGTGGGTAGGAAGAAGACTGGCAATCAGTGGGCCTAGAGTTCCTTTTGGGTATGAAAATATTCTGGGACTAGACAGTAGTGACATTCACTGAGTCTTGCAACACAGTCATCTTGAAGCAGCCCCAGGAGATTGGTGCCAGACCCTCCATGGAAACCAGGATGGAGGGATGCTCAAATTCCATAATGGAAATGTCATAGAATTTGCATATAACCTATGTGTGTCCTCCCAGGTACTTAAGTTGCCTCTAAATGGCTTACCATACCTCATCCACGTAAGTGCTGTGTGAATCCCTGGCACACTGTATCTATCATCCAGGGAATGATGACAAGGAAAGTCTTCCTGTTCAGGACACATGCAGATTTTTTTCAGCTACATTTGGTCTTTGGTTGGCTGAGTCCACAGATCCAGAAAATAGGATACAGATGGCCAGCTGTATAGTAAAAGTGGTTCAACTGTGCCCTATAGTGAATGAATTGTATGCTGTGTGAATTGTACCCCAGAAAGCTGGTGTGTGTGTGTGTGTGTGTGTGTGTGTGTGTGTGTGTGTGTGTGCATGTGTGTGTCCCAGCCACACTGTTTGCTTCAAAGCCCACTTGCTGAATCTATCAGCAAATAAAACAACTGAGAGCCCAGCCACTCCACAAACACTTTAAAGCTGGGTCTGCCCTCTTTGAGGACCCCTGGGCAGGAGGCACCTGCCATGCCAGGAATTGCCCCATTAGGGAACAGAGGGGAGTAGGCAAGAAGGATCCTATAGGACAGAAGGATGGGGTTCTGTCCTGCAGCTCCAGAGAATGAAGGTTATCTGAGCAACAGACTCTGGTACGTAATGGCACCTCAGCTGCTAGTCAGCTTGGAGGCCTGTCTGCTCCCAGGGCCACATTCAAGATGTCTGAGATAATTTCACATGGGTTTCTATGGTACATATGAGGAACCGGAGTTAGCAGCCCAGCATGGCCTGTCCGCTTACCTGGCTCACTCCTGATTCAG